GGAGGCTGGGAGGCTGGGATAATTCTAGAAAATTCTGCGACAATTGTGTTTCACACACCTTCTAAACTCCGCAATTGACCAATGAGAACGCGCGTACTGTCTCGATTATTTTCTAATAAGATACCACAGGGCACCCAAACTAATCGTACTGTGTGTGATTTTGGATCTAAAACTTATTAACGGGAATACCTAACATATCCGACAGTATCTGCAATTAATTGGGAATTGCGACTGGCTCCTTTCACAACGATCTCGGATGTAGTTGTATCATCAACATACTTCAAATATTGCCTGCATTATTAATTTCTACTGAGATCGTTGATCAGGACCAAAAACAACCACGGGCCTAGTTTTGTCCCCCGGGGTGCCCCGGATGGAACTGATCCCCACTCAGAATAACATCCCTCTGAGAGTTTGATTCTCTGGGAACGATCACTTAGAAAATCTATCATCCAATTGATTATTTCTATCGGCAGATCTAATTTGCATAACTTATTAATGAGAATCCTATGGTCTATGAGGTCAAATGCTTTCATATAAATAGAGTGTGACCCTAACAGTTCTCCGTGGCCATCACATCCCTTGGTCCAATGGTGAAGCATGTGTATAAGTGCTTGACTTGTGGAGGACTTCGGCACAGCGCCATACTGGCTTGGGTCGAGAACTTTAAGTACGGAGGATTTCACTTAGTCAGCTACGACACACTCTTCAGCAACTTTCAAAAGACAAGGAGGGAGAGAAATCGGCCTTAGGTGTTTCTTTAGATCCTCCACCGCCTTCACCTAAAATAAAAATGAAATAATTAAATAAGAACAACAATGTTAACTTTTTAATCTGCATATTTCTATATTTTGAATATGAAAAAGCCCCTTTGATTTTACGGAGCTCAATTTGTGATTGAAAGTAAAGTTCTATAAAACTGAAATAACCTATAAAGAAATTAAAAAGAGGGGAATTGGATGCATGTTTGACATAAGATTTAAGTATAACATAATTCAGCGTGAGAGTCTAGGCAACGAGAAGTCGACGGAACATCGGTGAAAGCCCTCAGAATCAATGCATGTACCTTAGTGCTAACCGATTTTCAATTGCGTAGGAAGATGAAAATGAAATTTCATTTTCGTTTTCGTATGTAATTTGGAAAACGGATTGCAAGTCAAGTAAAGTCGTTTTTCGTTTTCCGCCAATGGCAATCCAATCAGTGGCACTGAAACTGACATTCTGTGAGAAAACTGATTACTTCACGAGAGAATTCTATCTAAAATAACAGCCAGTAACAACTGTCACGGCAAAAGAAATAATCCCGTGGCAAAAGAAATAGCCTCGCTGCAATAGAAAAAGACTCACGGTAAAAGGACGAACCTCAGGGCAAAAGAAAAAACCTCACTGCAAAAGAAAAAGACTCACAGCAAAAAAAAAAAGGGAGTCATGGCTGAAGAAAAAGCCTCACGGCAAGAGAAAAAACCGCATATACAGCGAAAAATTTGGCATTTAAGAGCACAGTTTCTTTGCAAGACCCACAGCAAAGGACAATTTCGTAACCCGCCTTTTTTGAAATACACAGTGTTATGCGCAGTCAGTATCTGACCCTCAAATGAATTTTAAAGAACTTGACAAACAGAGGCTTTTGTTGAAATGCTATTTTAGCAAAGGGTACGAATACGAGGTGATGCGTAATCCGCCATGTTAAAATACTCAGCGTCATACGCAATGCACAGTCAGTATTTGAACGATATCATCCGCTGACCCTCAAATGAATTTAAAATTTTTTTTGCGTGAGTTCAGGTTTTTTTTAGCCCCGAGTTATTTTATTTTGCCGCGAGTTATTTTATTTTGCCGCGAGTTATTTTATTTTGCCGCGAGTTATTTTATTTTGCCGCGAGTTATTTTATTTTGCCGTGAGTTATTTCATTTCGCCTTGAGTTGGACTTGTTTTGCCTTGAGTTTATCATATTTTGCCGTAAGTTAATTCATTTGCCGCTAGTTATCTTATTTTGCCGTGAGTTATTTTATTTTGCCGTGAGTTGGATTCGTTTTGCCGCGAGTTTATTTGTTTCGCCGTGAGCTATTCTGTAATGTCGCATGCATGACGTTTCGCTTTGAGTAAATTGATTTTAATTTGAGTTGCACTTATGGGCCACCGCATAGAATTCCCTCGTGAAGTAATGAATTTTCCTACAGTAAGTCAGTTTCAGTGCCATTGGCGGAAAAACGATAAACGACTTGAAGACGTGCTATCCGTTTTCCAAATGACATACGAAAACGAAAAACGAGAACTGAAGTCCAATTTCGGTTTTTACAGCGCAGCGAAAAACGAAAATGAAAATGGAAAATGAAATTTCATTTTCATTTTCTTACGCAATTGTAAATCGGTTGGCACTAAGGTACACGTATTAGAATCCCGCGTATAAGTAGCTCCGCCTTGTTCCTACCGATTGGCCATTATGACCAAAACGAAATTGTTTTCGCTTCCGTTTCCGCCCTTAAAACATTCATAAGCGTATTTAGTCGAGGAACTAAAACGATATATAACTCGGTAGTCCTACCGCTAACGACGATTTCTGGAAGAAGACCTCTGTCATTATCTGTCATGGATGCTGAGTACAGTTCGACCAAAAACCGTGAGTCAAACCTTGTCCCAGAAAACTTGTCTATCGAAACCGAAAGAGAACCATTGAACGCTAGCCTCCTTGAGACAAGATCGAACCAAATCTTCAAAGTACTACAGTATTTGGGTCTTGTTGAAGGAGACAGATGGAGAAATTTCGGTAGGGTTTTCATTCTGATGATTGTCGTCATAACATGGATCCCACCAAGTTTTCTTCTGGTGATCTGCATACAGAAAGACCCAATTATGTCCTCACCAAGTGGCTTACCGACAGTATTGTTACTCCCGGGCCTTGCTCTATCGCATCACTTCGGAGCTTTGTACGGATACAAGCATCGTAAAAGACTCAGAGAGAACATAAGTTTGGCTATCGAACGAGCAAATTTCTGCCGAACATGCCTGACTGTGATCGTAACGTTTGCAATGTTGACTTTTTCGTATCTCATTCTTCTTGTCTATTTGTATGTCACACAATCTATTCGCCCTGTTCCGTGGCTTCAAATTGGCTGTATCTATCTCCTCGGCTACATTTACTGTGGTTCAATAGGCGTAGCCATGAACCTGGCTTTTAGTGCGTCATGCGCTACCATTCAAATCAGGATCATCGACTTTAAGGACAAGTTCAAAAACTGGTCCAAGGGACCTCGTGAGGCTCTTATCGAGTATCAAGAACTCTGCGATTTCATGAACG